CTGCCACAGGTCCTGCTCCAGCAGCACGCACAGGTCCGTGTAGGTGAACCAGCCGCGCTGCATGCCCTGCTTCTCCGCCACCCTGGGGGGCACGGAGGGGGTCACACACGGCTGCTCTGTTGGGGGGCATCCCAGTCTGACGGGCTGTGCTGGCTGTCCCCCCACAACCCCCCGGGGTCAGGGCACTGAAGCCCCCGCAGAGGCGCTGGGTGCTGCTGCAGCCCAGGCTGGGGCTGTGCCAGTGCTCCTGCCCCCGGGACGCAGCCCCGCACGGTCCTGGCTGGGGGCTCGTGCAGGTGCCTGGAATCAACCCTGCCTTGGCTGTAAGGCGGGGGGGAGAGGGGGGCAAGACCAGGATGGGGGGGCTGGGCCCGACAGACCTCCCCACATCTGCACCTGAGGGACTTACCGCCCTTCCAGCCAGCTCAGCACCTCAAACACCTCCTTGGGGTTTGTGTAAAGGCTCCAGTCCTGGAGGGGAGGGCAGTGTCAGGCCTGGGGGAGAGGTCACACCCAACCCCTGCCCCCCCAGCAGGGTCTCGGGGCGCCCGGGGCAGCGGGAGGCTCATGCAGGGGCGCCCCATTTGCACCCGGCCCCTTGCCCTTCTTGCGGGGCAGACACCAGCCCGTCCCCGACTGCTGGGGGGACGAGGAGCTGGGCCGGGGCGGGGGCCACTCACGATGGCACGCAGGAAGTTCATCTCCAGCGTGTTCATGGTGCGCACGTCCACGTGCCCGGCCGCGCCCCACTCGTCGTTGAAAACCTCCTCCTCCTCGCCCTCGTCGTACAGGTACTTGCTGGCCACCATCTGGGGGGGCACACATCAGCAGCTCTCGGGGGCCCCCCAGCCCCAAACCGCAGCCCCCCACCCCAGCCCCATCCCAGGACTCACCATGGAGATGAGAAAGAGGTCGGAGGATGAGATCTGCTGCAGGTACTCGGGGTTGCGGTGCCGCAGGCGCTCGATGTAAACCAGGGCCAGCATCATGGAGCAGGGCGAGATGCAGGCCTCCCTGGGAGGGGGCAGCCGGTCCCGTGGGGGGGGCACAGACCGGGCAGGGACAC